TGCGTGGGGAAGGGTGTCAGTCAGAGATGGGGGGTTGTGTGCGTGGGGAAGGGTGTCAGTCAAAGAAGGTATCCTTGCAAGAGAAGAAAAACGGTAAGAAAATGCACTTTGTGCCACACAGACACGTCTGGAACTATTACTGGGCCATACAGATCAGCTGTGACGAACTCCTTCTGGGGCAGGGCAAATCATTCTTACTAAATGTACCGTGTAGGAAGGAAACATCACTTCAGGAACTTCCTTGTGCTTTTGTCCACCAAGAGTCAATCAATTAAGCGGCGCTGGGGACATGGGAGCAAATCGATTTAAATCCCTGGAAAATAGGCTGGGGAGGGGCACCCTTGAAAAATGCATAACAAATGCACGGGTGTCGTGGTTTTCCTCTTGGCATAATCCAAGAACAGAAGTGTCATTGTGCGGACTTTCAATATTTTGATTAGCATCTTGAGGACCCAGATGGAAGAATAGCTCTCTTCCGAAGATGGGGATTCAGTTTACCAAACAATTTAGCAGATGTAGGAGTTTACATTCATAGGCAGTTTCTAGAGCCCTTAACTCCTTGATCCTAAGCGTTAACTTGCCTCTTTCCGTAATTGTGACCCCGTTCTTTTATGCCAAACCGATTCTGTTGTATTATGCCCAGTTTGGGATACCCTCAGAGTATCCTAGGAGACAAAATTTTGCTGCTTTTTAGGGTCTCCTATGAAGAATCAAATAGAATTCATCACTAGGCATTCTTCACTGCCAGCAGAAAGAGTGATGTCTCTGTCCCTCCTTCTCTCATCCGCTCACACCAAATGTATATGATTTCCAAATATAGGTCAGTTATTTTTAAACTGCATGAAACGGCATTGCTAGCAGGGCTGGCGTTGAATCATGTGCCGGCTAAATTGTTGACAGAAGTCTGGTCTCACTATCACAACGGCCCTCATCACCCAGATCTCTCCGTCCCTGCCCCCTGCCTCTGGCGCACTCCCGTGGAATTAACTCTGGCCTCAAATCTGTGTCATCCGTCCCGTTTTCCTTGTTTTTGCATAAGACCTTGGGAAACCTGGCATAAATATTACGTCTCCAATTCAGAATAATCACCGCTTTCCCCTTCTTACCAGGTGATGTTTCTTTAATGGATTTAAAGTTTTATCGTGTTCATGCCTCTCACCATAAACTACATAAAATCACTTTTGCAAAAACCCAACACCATTTAATTTTTCTAAAGTCTATTATTAGGAAGCCTTTTCTGTTATTATAGATCATTTACTATTTAAGTATTAGCATTTACCATAAAAATAGAATGCTTTTAGAATGATTGTTGAAAAGCCATTTGTAAAACCCTTAGTGTTTTAAAGTGGGGTATTCGAAAGAGGCAATGTAAATTAAAAGATGCTTTTTATTTTAAAAGCATTGAAGAGTCAGTATGAATTTCAAATATGTGTGGTTCACCAGGAATAAGGGAAATAATCTACAAAGGGCCAGCATAAATGATTAATTATTAAAAGAGACTTGCCATTTAAACCTACGCTTAACTAAATATGATGGATTTTTTTTTTTTTTTAAAGCCCTAAATTCCCTTTTCTAAAAAGTAGCTTTTGGGTTTTTTTTTTTTTTTTTTTTTTTTTGTGGAGACGGGTCATTCATGGAGAACTAACTAGAAATAAACAGACTCTTGACCTGATGATGACTTTTGCCTAGGGAGCTTAGGATAATAATACGGTTATTTTGAAAATATACATGGGTACATGTAGGTATATCGCCCTCGCTCTGTTGAACAGTCCCTGAAGGAAGGCTGGTTTCCACGTCCGGGAGGGGGGGGTGTCTGACAGCGCTACCGAGTGGGCGTGTGTGAGCCACAGGGGTCCCCACACAGCTGCTGTGGGGCTCCCTGCCACAGTCCGAGCTGCCGAGCCACCTGAAGCGTCTCAGCACGTTCCTGCCCGGGACTCACAGGGCGCGATCACTCTCAGAAGAGGATGGTGGTGCTGACAGCCCGTGTGTCTCAGGCAGACGGTCCTTGGCCTCGCAGGGACAAACACACTTACCCAGCCCGCCCGTCTGCACACGGATCACCCTCGGCAGTCTGTCGAGTACCAGCCATCACCGTCCCGCTTGCCTGCACGTTGCCTTCTTACTGCCCCGAGCCAAGCATGGGAGATCAGCTTGCCCTCCTGTCTCTGCTCGTGCTATAGGCCTGTGCCGTCTTTTTCTGTAGAAGGGGCGCCCCATCACTGGTTGGGATGGGCTGGTCCTGCTGCCAGGCCACAAGGGCTGAAGCAGAGGTTGCAAGCCGTTGCTCAGGTGATCTGATTGTGGGTAGCGGGAATACGTGTGACCCTGGCTCCCGGCTGGGCCAGCTGTCGTCTTATTTCCCTTTTTAGTCTATCCAACTCTCATACTGGGCCCTCAATCATGGTATTAATACAATTTAGGTCAATCCAAAGATGGATCAGTGTCAAACATTTTACTCTGATAAAATCACCGACGTGTCAGTGGTTAGGGTACAACATCAATCTGATACCATCCCCTTCCCGGTCCAGGACGTCCTTAGCAAGGTAGTCATACACGTAACGCCCATTTGCGCACAAATAATTATCTCAACTTTTGCAATAAATTGATTTGTACCGGCCTCTATCCTATTTTTTTCTTTGATTGCTTATAGGGTTAGTTAAAAATTTTTAAAATACAGAAACAATGCTTGTGTTTGGCCTCCTGTGTTTGTGGTAGGGAAGATGGCAGACATACTTGATGTTACAGCTTCTAAAACTTTAGATGCTGCAAACTTGAGCTTTTTTTTTTTTTTAAGATTGATTTATTTGAGAGCGAGAGAAAGAAAGAGAGGAGAGAGTGGAAGGGAGGGGCAGAGGGAGACAGAGTTCCAAGGAGACTCCATGCTGAGCGCAGAGCCTGACACGGGGCTCGATCTCACAGCCCTGAGATCGTGACCTGAGCTGAGATCAAGAGTTGGACACCTCACCGACTGAGCCGCCCAGGCGCCCCAGACTTGAGCTTTTTAAAAACTATGCATATTTGGAAAAGATGTTCAACGGAATGCATTCTATCTGAGCATTTAATTTGGCGTATGCTGTGAGAATTAGCCTTAGCTGAGGCCTCTGAGTAAGTTAACCTTACTCGATGTTCGAGTTTAAAACAGAGGAAAGCAACACAGCGTTTTTCAGTTTGCCCTCCAAATAAAATTGTTAGCAGCTTCCTGCAAGACGGGCCAGTGTTCAGGGTGGTAAATGGCACCCGAGCTGACGGTTCCCTGCAACGCAAGCCTTAGCCTCATTGCGGAAAGTTTAAGAGGCTGGTTCTCCACAGGTGTACAACATGAAACGATTGCATATATCCGGACACTTGTTTTTCCCTTTGATGCTCCCCCCTGGCCTATCTGAAGGCCGATTTACAGCAGAGTTCAACTCTCCTCCCTCCCAAAGATGATCTATTATTTTACTGCCCAAACTTCTGCTTCTCCTGACCCCCGCTATGGCATTTGGTTAGGGTAGGGCAGGAGAAAAGCTGCAGTTGTTTTCCACGCGTAAAGACTGAGATTAATCTGTGGCTCTCCGTCCTCTCTCTTTGCCCTGTGCCTAAACTAAAGTGAATCACATATCAGTTTGTTTCCAAACAAACTGGAAGATCTGATGACGGTGTGGACCTAATATTTCTATGAATTGCTTCATATTTGAAATATTGAAACCTCAGGTCTTTAGACATGGACTAATCCCACTATTCACAAATGAGTTTTTTAGCCATTTTGAATACGGTGACTCAGTACCTTAATAGTATGTGAACACAATTTCCATGAGTCCTGATGACCTCTAGGAGAGATACCGACTGAGGGTTAATTATTGAATCATTGGAACACTATGTCTAGCTACATTTGCATAGCATTTAGACTCCTGACAGAAACGTTTTTACAGGAATAATCAAATGTCATGATTTGCAACTGCTGATTCTGATCATTGAGTTTTCTATCATTATGTTTTCCCATTTTTTTAAGTCATTGAGTTTCACCACAATACTTGTGATGCTTTAAAGACAATGCACCGATATTACCACATATTGTGGGATGACCACATTTTTGACAGAATAGTGTGGATTTCAGATGACTCGTTTGTTCAAAAATAATTGAAAGAAGGAAAAGTCTAGTCATTTCCATAATAACACGCCGAGGACACATGCATTCTGCACATCTGGTTACACAACTAGGGTGCTGGGTGAGCTCCCAAGCACTGTGCAGAAGGCCTGGCAGTGGGGGCTTGGGGTCCCGGGGGCTGGGGGGCCAAGCCCCATCTGCACACAATTACAGCCGAGTGCTGGAGTTACTTCCAATCAAGGGAGCCAGCTGACCCTAATGCAAAGCAGATGGACCATTTCTCAACATGCAAATGGTAAGATTGTTGTACATAATAATCGACGGGACTGTTAAATGAAGAAATGCAAACTGACGTGGCTCTGATGGTCATTATGTTCGATTAAGGCTCTAGGTAGTTGAAGGATATTCAAGATTAAAACCTTGCAGCAAGGGGATTCAGACGCTTGCTTTGCTGCTGATGAGTTCAGGTTACTTCAGCGGCTGGAGTATGTACCGGAGGTGCATTTACACTAGAGGATTATGCATAGGACAGCCAAGGAGAAACTTGCATTGGAAATCTCAGACAACAGGCTTTATGAGTTTAAAGCACTAAGCAGCCATCTTCTCTGTGCACCGAGAAACCACGTGAATCACAAAATGTTCTCAGAGGCCACCCTCTCTTCACACACCCCCTCGGTAGAAAGTGTGTCTAGGACCCGCCTGGAATGCAAACCTGATACAAAGCAATCATTTTGTCGAGCCTTGGTAGCTTTTTTTCTTTTTTTCAAGATTTTATTTATTTATTTGAGAGAGAGAGAATGAGAGATAGAGAGCACGAGAGGGAAGAGGGTCAGAGGGAGAAGCAGACTCCCCGCCGAGCAGGGAGCCCGATGCGGGACTCGATCCCGGGACTCCAGGATCATGACCTGAGCCGAAGGCAGTCGCTCAACCAACTGAGCCACCCAGGCACCCGGTAGCTTTTTTTTTTCTTGACCTAAGTCTTTAGAGAGCTACTTCTGGATTAAAACTCATCAGCATACTTTGGGATTTCCATCCTATCAGGAATTGTCAGGAATTGGTCTTTTTTTAAACCGGGAAAGTTCTGTCAATGCAATAAAACTATTCATTCCGTCTTCTAAACTTACTAATAGAGTTTTATTGTATTATTATTTAGTATTTGCGTTTTTAAAAACGTAAGGGTAAGCGAATACCTGTGTTAAGGTTTCTCCTTTCCCGAAGGTGAGTGCCCTCCAGCAGAGAGGGGTTGGCCATTGGTGCCAAGACTGGGTCACTGTTTCTGTATCCTCTTATCTCCGCGCTTACGTTCTTGAGTGCGGAATGGCACAGTAGGTTGGCTGTTCTTCGGCAGACATTTCCTGAGCATTTGCTCTTGCGGAATGTGCTCTCCTGGGCCACTGTGAGGTGTGGGAACGAAGGAGACCTGTTCCTTGAGGGCTGGGGTCTGTAGCTTCGGGGGGAAGACAGACATCATCCAAGGAGCTTCTGTAGTAAGAGGCAGTTCAGCGCACACTTGGACAGTTACAGGCTGAGCTTTGAAGAGGGGGCAGAAGAATGCAAGCTTTGTTTCCAACTGGGAGGTTTTAGGGTAAGTAGGTCTGAGCAGTGGCATTCACTCTGAGCCTGGAAGTATTCACGTATCCGTAGTCAGAAAGTAGGAAGAAAGACATTCCAGACTGAAAGTATCTAGTAGTAGTAGGAAGTGCCTGGCAGTGTGTTTCTCGAAAAGCTGGGTTTAAAAGCACGTTGTGTGACCAATATGGGAAATGTGCCACGAGGTAAGTGGAAAGATCTGACGTGATGTGGAGGGCGTGACATGTGTTCATTCCACAGAAAATGGGATGTAGCTGAATAGTTGGAGAAGGTGGAGGAGACCCTCTGTCCTCTACTTTAGGAAAATAATCACAAAATACCGTGAAGAGGGCATTAGAGAAAAGGATGGGCTTGCGGGGACATGGGATGGGAGGCTTCCTGAAGTGACACTCTGCAGTCCCACAAAGAGATGTCGGGTCCAAGAACGAGTGGAAAGGTTCTCTTAGCTATCCAAAAGCATGGAGTGGTCATGAAGCTATCACTGGGGGAGGGGACACCCTCAGGAGGGGCATTTGAGTTGGGACTTGTGTCGAGAAGTTCTTTTGGTAGTGGGGCCTGCAGCGCGGACCGGGGACTGGGCACAGATTTGTGAGTCCCTTGCTTAGCAGAAGTACTCCAGGCACAAAAGTAAACGGGACTCCTAATGTAAGGTTGTGCACTGCAAAGAAAAGTTTACGACTCGAACTTAGAAAAAACCCTCATGCTGCGGCAGAAGGGGAGACCTGTTCCACACCAAGCAGGGACATCAGGGACATTTGAATCAGAATCTCTCAGGATTGTGCAGAGCTGTGAAAACTGCCCCTTTTCCCTCCTTTTGTAAGTGGCTCTTCCTAATTCAAAATGTAGAAAGAAGCCGAAAACTCAGAGAGGAACCTGAGACCAGGTTCGTTGCTCCTGGCAACTTAATCTTCCCCAGACTCAGTTACTTGATAGTCCCCATGTAGATCATTAACCCCTCACCCACAGCACAAACTCACAGTGAGGACCCGTTGAGGCACCAGTTGTTACAGTGAAGGGCAACGAACAGAGGCAACCCATCAGCACATCAAAGCAGAGACTGCAGTGGCATGGGGAATGCGTTTTCTAGGAGGTATTCTGTAGAACTCACTGACCTTTGACCAGATTTATTTGCTGCTCCTTTAAGACTGTGCAACTCCCCCCACCTAAACGTGTAAAGACTTGAGAATCCGCCCCCTCCCGCCAACAAGACTTAGCATGAATTAAGATCCAAGTGAAAATCAGAGTTGGTACTTGGTGACATCGCTAACATACATCAGATAGTACCTGCATTTTGTATTTGCATGTTTTTCAATGTCTTTTCTGCTTAAATGGAAGAAACGGAAAAAGAAGTAGAGCGTTATCAAATACCATGTTCAAATGAGTGGTCAGTGTGTTGGGCAGATGCTCATTCTCAGGAGAAACTGATATTAATAGCAGCTGGCATTCAGGGTTCTGATGGCATCGAACATCACGGTACCATGGACTCTACCTAATCCAGTTAGTTTTACATACATAGGAGGATAGAACTTTGTTCTAAACTTCCCTTTCCGTAATGGCTATGATTTTGAACTCTGGTTCTTCAGTCTGTCAGTCGCCAGACCACTTGCATGCACCATGGGCGGGGAGAAGAAATCAGAATGATTAACTACTTGAAAATGAGACACCTGTGAGGGACTTTTGAAGCAAGGCGGTCACTCGTGCCAAAACCAAACAGTATAAATTCATCATTTTCCAATTTTAAACCGTAAGTCTATAGGAGAGAGCCCTGCAATCAGTTGGGGAATGCAAAAGATCTGTGCTCTGGAAATCATGCTCGTAAGGTCTGACCACATGAGAGCATTTAGCCTTATAATTTTTTCCCTTAAAAGGCAAACTTTCGGAGGCGGGAGAGGCGAGCAAACCGGGGGAGCACGTTATAATGACCTTAGACTCTATCAGTAGAAACAGAGCGTGGTAAATGGGGACAGGGGCTTCAAAGCCTCTGTGACTGTGGCCTCATGTGCATTCCTTGTTAACCTCCAGTGATGTAGCTCAGTAACTTTGTTTATTCCAAAGAACGCGCATAAAAGAATTGCTGTCGAGATGACTGGGGAGAAAAAAATAGTTGTCCCGAAACAGGACCCGATGTAGAGCCTCTTTAAAAAATGGGAAACTAGAAGGAAAGGAGGTGATGCTCTTGAAATGCGGCGGGCTGACCTCCGCGTCAGAAGGTTTCAAACTTGAACCCTGCCGGGGAGGAACCCCTTTTCTGGAGGGAAGTGAGGATCAGTGGTCGTGACCTGAGATGGGCCGTAGAATTCTAAAGGTTTTCTTCCTCAGCTTGACCGGCCCTGGCGTCACCCGCCGATTGTTTTCATTGCCGTGCTCCTGTTTCAGGGGTCCCCCTGAAGCCCAGAAAAGAGTTACGATTTACAGAACTGCAGTCTGGACAGCTGGAGATTAAGTGGTCCTCGAAATTCAATATCTCCATCGAGCCCGTGATCTACGTGGTACAAAGAAGATGGAATTATGGAATCCATCCTAGCGAAGACGATGCCACACAGTGGCAGACGGTAGCCCAGGTAAGTGGTTCATGGACTCCCTCCCCTCCCCCTTGAGGTAAAGGTCTACCGCACACCCGCAGGTAGAAAGTTAACTTGCTGTGCCTCGGCCAAAATAGCCCGACTACCCAAATGACTTAGTCAGACGTGGACGTCATGGCCCACGCATCTACAGAACACAGGATGAGCTCCGTAGCTACAACCCGGTGCAACGAGGAGCTTGACTCTTGGATTCCTTTGCTCAAAATACGTGTGCAAGGGAGATCATTTTCTGAGTCACATTTATTTCCTCCAAGAAGTGTATTTCCTTGAGATAAACTTAAAACCGACCCCAGTAGGAGAAATGCAACAGCATTAGGACGAGTTCATGTGATCTTGGATCATCTGAATGACTTCTAGTTTTCTTCTGCATCGAAGCCTTCGTTCTACACGAGGACTTGAGTAGCATGGGGTACGATTCCTATCACCCAACTAGTTGGTGGGAGGGACCCAGCCAGTCCTCAGTCCTTGCTAAGTGCTTGCTGCGTCCCGGGCAGCTCACACACTGACACCCCACCTGCATGGTAGCAGTCCTGGGGTTTATCTTAGCACTGCGGCTTCCTTTTCTGTCTTGCCAATGAGAAAAGCAAAATATTTTCTTTCTTTTTAAGAGCTGCTAAATGGACTACCAGCTGCAAGAAACCTACACGGTTTTAGAGAAAGAACAGATTCTCAATGTGAAACCACCTCATGCCCTCAGCAACTGCAGTGCATTCTCCACATGTGTCTGTGGGCAGAAACCCTGACCTGGCGGGGATCGGGTCATTTTGCTTGAGAGATTCCCATTAATTCCTTTTCAGTAAATACGAAATACAGTTCAGTATACAGGTGTTGGCAGGAGGAATTTGGTTCTTTTCTGGTAGTAGTAGTATCTCAAAGAGGATAAACACTAAAATAATTTAGAGACCCCCAAAAGAAAGGGGCAATTTGATGTACAAGAAACAAATTCGTGGCAAAAAAAAAAAAAACAATAAAAACCCAACCACTGGTCAAACAAATTTAGTGATTCTATTTCATACGTATTTTGTTAAAAAATTCGCTTTAATAAAACCTAAAGATGTCTGGCATACAGCCTAAAAGTCTATTTGATTTACATGGTATGCTTCCTTAATGGTATGATCTCACTTATAAATTTTCCAAATTATTTAAGATTTATGAAAGTAAATGACAATAAGATCAGCTCTTATATCCCTTCTATTTTGGAGAGAGGAAAGGCCTTATTTTTATTATTTTCACTGGTTCATGCCTTCCTTTGTCTTCCTTCCACCTTCCTTTCTTTGCCTGCTAAATGCTGTGGGGATCGTGGTGACTTCAGTTTTTGAACCTCCAGGCCACGAAGAGTAAATGTTGAGGTCCGTGAAATAGTCGCCTCACATTCTGCCAAACGAGGTAGAAAGCCCCCTTGAAGAGTTCAGAGCCTTCCCTTTTAGATACTAAAGCCAAGGTGACAGCCCCTCTCAAGAGGTTATTTCTGCGTAGGGTTTGGGAGGGTTTGGGTTCAATTTCACTTGACGACGTTCATGCCCTGAGTGCGGCTTTGCGACTCCAGCCGGAGTGGCAGCCAAACTAGGCACCTTCCCCGGTGTCCAGTTTTATTCCTGTGGGCATTTTCTTGGACAGACAGATGTCTGCACACCTCACCTTGGAGGAACACGACCGGGTCCTTGCAGATCTTACCCGGTTTACTCAAACAAGGAAGAAAGGCTTGGATTGCAATGTACTTCCAGAAATCGTTAGCACTCTTTAAAGAGTGTGGGTCCTCATACCGACTTCCAAGACCCTGTTTGGCAAGCACGTTCGAGAGGCATTTCCTTTCTGTAACTGGCAGATGATTTCATATTCGTGCCTATCACGGAATGAGCTCACGTATACATTTGCTCAGATGTGTAATTGAGTGATGAAACCCCTCGTGGGTTGAATGCTACATTAAGTCACCCGACGTAAGTAGCCCAGGCATGTTCCTAGCATTGGCTCCAGAGATCCTTAACTCTTTGGGGTGCCGTCCCTAGGAGTGGAATTAGACACCTGAAATGCCCTAGAAATTCCCTGACCCCCGACAGCTCTTCTCATAACTGAGCACGACGACCGCACTTACCCACAAGGGCACAGGGAGGTCGGGGCGGCGTTGTGCCGGCCGACGAGGTGCTGTGCTTTTCAGACACACCCGACTGGCACGTCTGGGTAAAAGGGTTCTCTGTGCTCTGTGACATTTCTCTGCAGACCACAGATGAGCGGGTCCAGCTGACTGACGTACGACCCAGCAGGTGGTACCAGTTCCGAGTGGCGGCTGTCAACGTGCATGGGACCCGAGGCTTCACGGCCCCCAGCAAACACTTCCGCTCCTCCAAAGGTCGGTGTCGCGTTCCTGACCCCACGCTCACCTCCCTGCCGGGCACACCTGCGGTGCGGAGCCGTGGTGTCGCCCTGTCCGTATGTATGGTTGGTCAGCAGGTGGTTTGCTGTTCTTCGCCGACGGGACCACGTGTGTGTGAGTGTCTGGTTCAGAACGTCACCCGCCTTTTACCTTCACAACATCACGCCAGATAACAGAATGGGGTCTTCTCAACTCGGAAGGGGTGGTTTTCCGTTACCAACTTGTGTTCAGTCTTTGTCTCGCGATGTTCTGCCTTAGTCACCTTACAGTTAATTTCTGGAGAGAAGAGTTTGGTTTGAGCTCCTGGATACTGTGCAGCTTTTCTTGAAACGATGGTTATGTTGAGTGTGAATTAATCTCTTTTGCTTCATACCACCCAGAGTTTGACCTCCGGGTTCCCCTGTGTCACTGCTATTAATTCTGTTCGGTTCTTATCTCGTTGCTACTGGAAAGCCTCTGGCATCCTGTGACTGCTAATGCTGTGACATCTCTGGTGAGTTTCGTGTGTGCTAGTGGAACTAGGGGAAGGACGTCCCTGGACTCGATAACAAACAATACATCCATGTGTATTTTCTCCAGTTGTGCTTAGTGGGCTGTGCCTTCTCTGTGCACTCCACGTCTGCTGCAAGAACCCATGTCACAGCTAGGGGCTGGTGAGCTCATGCGCGTACTCCCCGACAGTTCTCCTGGTACAGGACGCTAATTTAGATTGATTTTAAACAAAATGCTTTGTGATGTTAATGAAGGATGTAAGACGGGTCCCATCAGTCCTATGTCTTTCATGGAGGGAGGGTCTGAGCTGGCTGCTATCACTTCCCATTTCTGTTGCGTGATTGGGGAAATGTATCTGTTGATGCCAGTCTGTCCGTTTCTCACTACGTCATATTGCAACCCCTTTGTCAATGTCATTGTTGGTCTCAGAAGTGGAAAGCTTGCAACCGAAATCATTTAATATTAGGATTCTGTTACACCTTATGTTGTACACTTTCAACTCTTTTTTTTTAAAAAAGACCTTTTAGGAAAGGAAAGGTGCCTTTTTTTTCCCCCTCCATGGAGGCAAACACACAAAGCAAATTTAAAAGTGCAATCGCAGACATCAAACCTTGTCTTGAGACTGTGTCTCCAATTGGTCTGATGATTTAGAGAGGCCAGGGAAATAAATCATTAACAGTGGGTTCAGAGGCGAGGATCCATAAGAGGCTTGAGAAGTCTTCACCTTGGTTTCATGGTTCACATGCGATGCGGGCACGATGTGGTCAAATGTGTTACCATCTGTTCGGTTGCCTGGTCTGGTGTTTTCAGGTCACGGCTGCAGAAACAGACAGCAGACAGAAGCCGTTGCCAGCCCTTTGGAGACAGATGTGGAATACCTTTAGGGGTTGGGTGGGATCTGGGCAGAGCTCCACTGACAGTTCCCAGGGCCGGTCATGTGGCTGCCAACTGCCTGGGAGGCATATCCATTCTGAGCAACTCGCGAGGCCTTGCTGTGGCGGGATGCCCCCAGTATATCTGAGCACCTGAATAGTCTAGAACTAGAGCTGCACCGCTCAAATTTAAATGGGCTTTTGCTGAATGAGAATGCACCGTGTTGGGGAAGCATAGCATTCACCATTGCGCTGCTGTTCTATTTCCTGATTTTCCAAACACACCCAACACCGAGCATTCCAGACTCTAGTCCTTGCAGTTCTTGCAAACCAAAAATGTCTGCAAGGAATACACAGTAGATTCTACTCTTTTTCCAGTGAAGATGGATCACGGAATTATGGAAATGGAATAGATCCGCTAAACGGCTGAGGACATCTCCTCTAGGATTTGTCTAAAGGAAGCCTGACCATTGACAAGATGGCACCACATCCTTCCGCACCTTATTCAGATCTCATCAAACGGAGAAATGGGCCTTAATGGGAAAACTGTGTTTAACAACTGTACTGAAATACAATTATCATACCATTAGAGTCATTCCTCTTACGTGTACAGTCCAGTGATTTGTGCTATTGACAGACTTGTGCATCGTCATCGTCCACTTGTAGAATCCACCAAGAGCCTTCATGGCTTCCTGGGGAAACTTTCGAGTAGAGACAAAGTTAGTTTTGAGTCTTCACCTTCTCATCACTCATGTTTCATTCCCTTTTGTATTAAATAGTTGTTAAGCTCCTATGTGTGTCCGGCACAGGGGATAATAAATGAATGAAAGGACAAAAATGTCTGCTTTTGTGGACACACACAGTTATGCCAGTTGCGGGTATGAGGAAACAGTCAACAAGATTAACAAGTAAAATACCGTTGTATAGTATTTTATCATCACAACTGATGATAAAAAATAAAGATTAGAACAGAGGAGATGTTGGCGGGGGGCATATTTTGTTGTCAGTTTTCGGGAGGGTAGACCAAGGTTTTGCTGAGAAAGAGATGTTTGTCTAAAGGAGGTGAAAGAGTCAGCCTTGCACCAGTTTGAAAGGCGAGCATTCCAGTTCCTGGAAGCGGTCGGTGCAAAGGTCCTGAGGCAGGAGTGAGCTTGCCGTGTTCGTGGAACAGCACAGGAGCCCGAGGGTTGAGCTGTGGAACAGGGCAGGGGAGCTGGAGGTGAAGCCTGAGAGGAAGGAGGGAGGTGGGGTGATGGAACCATTCTAAAAGTGGGTGATGCGCGTTGCCCAACTCAGAAAAGTCTAAAAGTCATTGCACTGTTCATTTAACGTGAGCGAGTTTTATGGAATGGAAGTTAAGTCCCCATAAAGTCATTTAAACAGTTTTTCCCCAGCAAGCCCCCTTTCTCCGCTTGAAGAGATTGAGTAAATGGGGAAAGATAACGGTGCCATCTTGCAGATGGTTACGTATCCTTTAGACGAGTCCTGCAGGAAATCTTCGACCGTCTGGCGGAATTATGGCACTCCCATCATTCCCCCGTGCCTGTTCGCTGAACCCGCAGTAGAACCTCTTACGAATTCTGCACCAGCACTTGCGGTTTGCTAGGGTGCCAAAGCGACAGTCTAGAATGTTCCTCACAGTGAGATGCACGGAAGTATGGATACGGGGCGTATTTGTAAAACCAGGAAATAGAACATTGCACCAGAGGCTGCCCTGATTCCAAAAATGGTGCATTTTCATTTAATAAAAGCCCATTTATTCCTGCTGTGCCCCAGAACTGAAACTGCACCGTTGTTAAGTCCTCTAGTGCTTTAAAATGGCTTTGAGAAAGAATGATTGCTTCTCAAATAATAGTCTGTGCAAAGGGTAAGTGTATTTGAGTTGGGTGGAGGGCCAGCCTTGGTAATTTAAGTCTGGGTCAAGGGAAAAGGGAAGTGATTTTTTTTTTCCATCTACAGTAAACACTTCTGAAAATAAAAGGAAAATTAAATAGAGAAAGAAAAAAAATTGATAAGATGGGTTTCATTTCGTTTATGCTTTCTGCCTGGTATTCATTGGCCATAATCCTGATTTTCGTGGAAAAGCCAAAATTCTTCTCATTCTCTTCTTAATGGTTCTGTTTAAATACAAAATTAGTCTGTGGTTTGCCAGAATGGATTGGCTATTAACTAAGTTAATTTCCTTTTAAGTCGTGTATTTTCCCATACCTTCATCCTAACCCCTTAGAATGCTGATTTTTACAGAAAATTCAGAGTTGTACATGGATTGGTAACTCAGTTTCATGTTTTCCTCCTCCCGGTGAATGCCATTTTTGTTGTCAGCCCCCAGAAGACATGAATGATTATGAATTGGGGACAATCAGCCATTCCTGCTGGCAGCAGAAAGCCCAAAATAGAGGTTGGGGTAATTTCTGTATTTCCTTATTTAAATTTTCTACTACCTTTCCCCGGTACTTAAGAAGGAAAATTGTCTTCAACGTTAAAAATTCAAATTACGAGTGGGGACTCGGGCAGCGGATGCAGGCTGTCTCCCAGCACATCTGTCCTGCAGGTGGGCAGAGCCTGCTGGGGGCCCGGGGCGAAGGCGCATTTAGAAGCTGAGCTGTGTGTGTCCTGAAACAGTACAGGGCAGGGGCGAAGATTTGGGTCCCTGGTGGCGGGGGCTGGGGGGGGTGGTGTGTAGTGGTTTTACTCCACACCCATAGCATTCCTGTTTGTTAGGACATTTTCAGTCGTGGTTTAAAAATCAACGTATGAACAGTTCCGTGAAAGGAATGCCCGCATCACTAGGTTCCCGGGCTGCTTCCCGTGTTGGACGGCGGTAGTCCCTGCAGACCACGCAGCCTTTCTAGCCTCTCTCGTGGCCTCTCGCCTGCTCTCACCCTGTCCCAGAAGCTGGCAAGCTTCCTGTGATGTCTGTGGGATTTCGAGCGAGCAGAGCCCCCAGACGTGCGAGTGAACCACCCAGAGTGGCGGTCGTGCCTACACAAAACGTACTTTTTGGCTTCCAGTGCACATTTCCTTCTCTTTTTCAGCAGATCGGTGTTTCACCTTTCCTTGATCATGTCGATATTTATCAGCAAAAAATGTGTATGTGTTGCATGCGCAGTATTGGAAATAAATATTGCTAAGTCCTCGTACCTGCACCAAAACACTCTTTACAAGACTGCCGAATTTGGGAAAGAGTGCATCTGCCTTTCGGCATGACTTCTGGGTGTCAACATGGGTAGAGTGACAGAAGGAAGACTTCCAATTTTCTAGGTGGTACAAAACAAAGTCTGATTTTTTTGTGGGTTTTTTTGTTTTGTTTTGTTTTTGCATGTTGCCAAAAGCAGGCCAAAATTTGTCTGGATGTTTGCAATTAGTCAATATCCGTTTAGCATTCTGAAATAGCAAATGTTAAAGGGAAACGTAGAAGGAAAAATGTTAAAATCCACCTTCTGTTGTCATTCAGCTAATACATCCACCATCTTTGACTACTCACTCCCTCCAAATTCAGGGTTTCTCCTCCACCTTCCTTCTCTGTTTTCCCACGTGTACAGGATACATTACCAAGGAAAAGCAGCAGAGAGCATTGTTTTCTGAGCTCAGAGGTAGCGCGCTGGCTGTTAT